AATTTTCTTTCCTCCCTTGATGAATTTAATAAAGAACTAATCAAAGATCATTAGAAGGCTTTTGTGCTTGGTTTGCATTGTAACTGGATTGCAATCTGAATCTGTATTTTAGTGGTTAGCTAAGGTAGAATTAGACATGAAAAAATGGATTTTTTAAAAATTTCACTTTTATAGCATGTATATAAAAATGTATAAGCAGTGTATTGTGTTCATATATCTCCCAGAGTAAAACTAGAGCATATTCATTCTGATTATAATTTTTAAATTGATGTCTATGACTAGCTCAAATTTTCTAATGCTCTATGATTAGTTCTTTTCTTAATTTTACAGGAAAATTAGAGATATTTAATTCCCAAAGAATAAAATTATATAAATAATCAAACTACCAGAGCCTCTAGCAATCCAAAGAGAATCATGGTAGTTGTAAAGTGTATCTTTTGAAGGGTTCCCCCCCTAGGGTTAGCTTAACATGAAGGATGCCTTTTTTAATTGCCTTTGCAGGCACCTTTATGTGATCTATTGGTGCCAAATCTACTGACATATGCTTGACTCCAGACCCTGGCCTTGATGCATGTCTTAAGATGCACCATGATGATGAGGGTTTGATTCCTCTCCTTTAGATACAGAATAATTAAATACATAACTAATGCTTGACTTAGAAGAGAATAGTCACCTGAATGTCCCTTAATATGTGGAACAGGAGTAGAATGGTGTACCATCTTCTACGAACCTAATTTCATTTTAAAGGAACTACTCGGAGAATCTGGTTTCTATGGTTTATAAATGGAGGTGGAAGGTAGCTTTTCTTCCATTTTAAAACTTTCCCCAACTGTCCTTTTATCTCTTCTTGTGAAGTAACATATGTAGGCCTGACAGTTTCCCAGGAATTGTAAACATGTATTGAGAGATTATACAGTATAGCACTTTCTAACATTAGTAACAGGCCACCAGTTTGTCGGGCAGTGAAGAGATCTCCTTTGCTTTAGAATTTCAGGGATTCCCCTTGAACATAGTATCTGTGACAATCGCCTGACTTTCTAAGCATTCGAACATTTATTTTATCAATATTAACCCACTAGGGAGTCAGACACATTCCAGCTATGTATCAATGTCTGGTTGAGACATCAGGACCTTATCATGAGCTGGAACCTGGCCTGCCAGCATCATTGTCTCTTAATTTCCATATAAGGTAACTGAATGAGGAAGAGCTGCTGGATATGTACTGGGAGAAAAAGGGGACCAAAGCAGAATACCTGGTTTGATGACACTATAATTTCTGAGAGAACAACACTGTTATTTAAGTAAAATCCTAGAGCCAGTGGATGATGAATAGATTTTATTGTGAAATAGCATTTTGACAATATATGTTAGAAGGTATGATGGATAGGAGTAGAGCTGGCCTTTTCTCACCCAGCATTTGGTGAGTAAAGGGTTAAACTCAAGTAGCCATGGGGTATTGGCAGGGAACCAAGTGAACCAATGGGAGAAGGTGTTAAGATTTGAGTTAGGAGATATACTTGCCTACTGTTTTAATTTGTGTGAGATTTAAGCCAGGAGTTGGGGAAACAAGATGAACTGAACCAGGCAGAACTATCATGCCTACAAAGAATAGTGGGCATGGAAATGGACTGGACCTTGAAACATGGATCGTGAGTAGATGGGGAAATGTCTATTTAGATGTGATCCTGTTATTTTCTTTGTTTTGTTATTTGGTTGTACTTTTCTATGGTAAGTCCATGTGCCGTCCCCCCCATACACTGTACTTTAAGTTGTATCCAAGGGATGGAAATTTCTCTGTGTTTTTAAATTGTTCTTTTCTCATTTTCTTTAAAACACCTAGCAACCAAGCATTCTTATCAAGTATATATTTTTGTTTTGATAATAAAATCACCTTTTTAAGGTGGTGATTTAATTCTTGTGTCCTGGAAGGTGATAGGAGGTCTGTGTATGCATGCCTAAGTCTGAGAGGTCAGCTATGAGAGATTGAAGTTTTTCTCTTTTTTCCAAGCTGTCTTGTGGAAAAAGAGTTTGCGGGCACAACTCTGGAAGAAGTCCAAGTGCTTCTTCTTGGGTTCAAAAAGAAAGAGTTTTTTCACTTGGTGGTGGAAGTTACCTCTCAAGGCCAGAGAATCTATGATATTGGGAAGCTTTTAAGCAGAAGCCTACAGAGGTAAGGTATTTTAAGGTCTCTTTCTAAACCCCCATATTCTGCACTTGGAGTGCCAGAGTGGGGAACAGCCTTGACAGAAGGTAGTAGCAAAAGAGGTCAAAAACTCCTCACACAATAGCATCTAACTTGGTAGTGTGGCTTGTTACATGGCAACAGGCCTTCAAGGGAGCCAGGGTCTATTGTGCATGTGACTATTTTATGATGGTTTATGTGGGGTTATTGAACTCCTCAGGTGGCTGCTTAATGGTTAATTAATACATGAGAATCTGGCCATATTAAAAATGTAACCCAAACCCCATTACAAAAGGCATTCTCAAAGAGCCAGGAGACTGAGCAGAGGACCTTCCAGTATAGCTCACCAGAGCAGGTAGTCTAGGAGGTGCCCTTTGATATAGGAGATAAGTAGAACTGCAGAACGCAGGCCTCCAGAAAGACTTGGTCCTAGCAAAGGTATTTCCCAAACAGTGTCAGGAAGCTCAACCTGCCAGGTTGCTACCTGAAGAGCAAAAGTGGTTCTGGGGAGAAGAAGCTCCTGGAGAGAAGATCTGACTCAGAGAAAGTGCTCTCAGGGGTGGGATCGGAACACCCAGAAGAATGAGCTAGAGACTCGCTGTGAAGATGGAAGTGTTGTGTGACCGAATATACAGAGATATAGCAGTATTGAGGGATGCCCTGCAGAGGCCAAAACACCAGACAAAGAATTCAGCCTGACTGCTCTGTGGCCAAGTGTTTTATGGTGCTCTTCTCTGTCACCCGACAACCTCTAAAGAGGTTAATACCTCTTTAATACCTGCAGGTGTCTTGGAGTTGTTTGTACTGCAGGTGAGCAGATATCAAGGCAGGGCTCACCCATGGCACCATGTCTGGCTGCAAGAGACTGTGCTGGAACTACGACATGGCTTTTAGACACTATCACAATATAAATGTTAATACTGGGAACACTTTGGCATATTTTTCTTGTTGTATGATGTCAGAAAAGTTGCATGTAAAAATATCTTATTAACAAAAACTGGAAGACTCACATTGACTTCAGTGATAAGCAATACTTATATTTGGCTATTTGAGAAGTCATTAGTGGAATATTTGCAGATGCATCTGCAATCTGTCTCAAATGGCAAGTATATACATTGAAATGAATCAACAATGACAGCAATTGCCAGGTTTACCTACAAATCAGCTTAAAAGAAGAAAATCCATCTCGCAATGAATGCAGAAGGTGATATGCAGAAATAGCAATGTTACTATCTAACATCTATTACAGATGTAGATGTAATGTGATATTTGAGGAACTATAGCTAAGAGTCTAGGTGGGAGTTTTATTTAATGGAAGGTATAGTTAAAAATAACTGCACATTTATCTCTGGAAGTCTCCTGATGATCATATTAGAAACAGCTTTATCTAGGACTAGTAAGATACATGTTGGGGAACAGGATCACAATATCCACGTGTAAAAACTAGTTTTGGCTTGGTTCCATATTACTTAGAAATTGACAGTGTTAAATGCTTGGCTTTTGTAAATTAGAAGGGAAATAAATTACCATATTTGAAAAAAAACTAGTCAACAGTATCAAAGCTTATAGCCTCTGCTGTAGCATCAAGTCAACAGATGCAAGAACATGTCAGGACTTTTATGAAATTTTAGTAGAAACACTTTCTAGTGTCCATTCTGCATAAACTCTAATTGACTATTGAACAATCTGTCCTCATTACCATAATACTCAGGCTTAGAAAAAATGTAAAGTAGCAGATTTTCAATTATGACAAACCCATATTATTCCTCTTACAAAATGCAGAATGAACTATAAAACCCATTTGTGAATGAAAATCTTTGTTGCTTCTCACTAACAATACTTGTTGGAAGAAAATCAAAGAAATAATCATTCATATAGGATCAAATATTATCTGGCAGACTGTAATAATGAAAGTTCCCAGAAAATGAGTTTTGGAGTGGAATCCAGAAATAATGTAATTTCTATTACCCAGGCATCAACAGTTGGCCAGATACAGTTTTACTACAGGGGTTGAGGATAATCAAAGAACATGTGGTCAATTTTAATAGCATTAGGTGTTTTGTGTGAGTATTAGTTTTTATAAATTACATATCACTATAGTATTAACTATTTATATGGCTACAGTGGCACAAAATTGTTGGAAGACCAAAAGATCCAGCTTCCTTTACATTCTTCCTAAATATATCCACACACCCTTTGATTATCCTCAGCCATACATATATAAATGGAACCTCCGGATGGAACAATCGTTCTCCTGGCTTCCAGTGACTAGAGATAAGCATTTCCCAAGCCCTTCCTCACGTTTCAGAGATACTGGCTGCTGGAATGGTCTTTTGTGGCCATTGGCAATTAGGCACAAATGAGAGTAGCCTTGTTCTAATTTTCATAAATTATAAAGCTAGAAACTACTATCGTGATAATGTCCTATATAGCACAGGCTTCTTACAGGACTTCCCTGAATGAATACCTCTTTGAATTAGACCACTTAGTAAAACAGCCAATCTATTTTAAAATTTATTATCTACCACAACCCTCAGTTGATTGTTACATTGGTTAATTGCCCCTACTGTTAAACATCAGTACCTTATTTTGAGTCTGAATTTGTTAAGCTTTAACTTCTAGGCACAGGCTTTTGTTACATCTCTGTGTACTGGAGTGTAGACTATCAATTATCTATTCCTTATGCAAGTGCTTATAGAGGGTAATCAAATCATCCCTTAACATTCTCTTTATAAACTAAATAGATTGAGCTCCTAGCGTCTTTCACTAGAAGTCATGTTTTCCAATCCATTAATCCTTTGTGTTTCTCTTCTTAACACAGTCTGCCATTTATGCCAGGGGCTTGTCCAGACACCTGGACCATGAGAACTTGCAGGTGAGTTAAGTTACTTTACCTTCTGATTGAGTCTTGTGTTACTACAGTTGATTAAGGCCAGAGAATCAGGGTCATAAACTGCTATACATATGTCTTTTATTCATTGATTTATTATGGCACATTCAAACACATGCAAAGACAAGATTACTGTCCAAAAATGTTAAACATTATTAATGGCAGAGGATCAGTTTCTTTCTGAATTATTGTAGTTATTAATACAATATACTTTAAAATCCACAGTCAACATTTATTTATATATTTATCTGTTTTTTCTAGTCATCCATTACCATGGAATTCAGGTTAAATTGATACTTGTCAACAATCTTTACAATGAAGTTTGAATTCATTTTCATTGTTTAAATTTTAACAGCAATAAAAAGAGTAAAGTTAATAATATGAATGGAGGTCCTAACTGCTAATTGCTGGTTTAATGGAGGAAAAGAGATGTTAAGAGAATAAAGGTATGTAATATGCAAAGACTTTACTTTTGAGCAGGTATGTAACTATTTATTCTGAAATAAGCGCATAATGTTTTTTAAACTGCAAAGTGATCTTTTAAGCACTTTATTTTTAAAGCACACACACATGTATTTATTATAATAATCACACATTCAGGTAGCTACATTTACACGTGTGGTCTGTTTCTTGTCTCTCTCTGACAGCCTCAAAGGAGGACATCTATTGTTCACAATTTTAGCAGTGAGGCCAAGGACTGCATATACTTTGAGACTGATACAATTTCTTACAGTTTGTTTTAATGTAGATTTTTAAAATTTTTTAAATCTGTGTTGCTTTTCCCTCAAAAGGAACAAATAATACACAAACTACACTGAAAGAAACTGAATGCCTTCCCAGAGAAGCAAAACCCTCAGTGTAATAATAGCAAGTCTACACTTAAAATGTCAGGCTTCTGCCACAAAACCTAAAAGGTTCAGCTACACTATCAGCTTTAGGATTTATAATAATTTATGTTTGAATTTTCTCATATGTAGCAGGTTTGGAATATTACTTCAGTATCTTGAGCGTGTGTACAATTTCCTAGTCAAATAATTAGATAAACTATTTAAAACATATATGAAGTAACATTTTAAAACTTTAAATTAGCAATTAGCCCTTATGGATAGTTTTGGGTAAAAAATGAAGTGGGGGACAAAGTGGTAAAATGAATGTTTTTGGCGCAGATCATCACATTTAGATTAATAAGGGGGTGAAGGGATGGGAGAGGAGTGGGAAACCAGAAAGGGAAAAATGTCCCCAGACTTACTCTAAAATAGAAAGGAAATTAAATTCTCATGATAACATCTCATTTCCATGAATTTGCAATGTATGCATGACTAGTGCATATGATTTCAGCCAAAGAATGGGAAAGAGGCAATGGTTATTTAAATGTTGTAAAAGCATGCATCTTTACAAGTCTTGGTGACTCAGCATACCATAGACTACCCATAACCATAGCAATTGGCTTAGATAGGATTGAGCTCTATCTATAATAAGGGGGAAGGACAGCTAATATAATCAGCCTAGGCATGTAGGCAAATGGTAAGGCATAAAAGATAACTGGATAATGGGAACAGAGTAAAAAATTCCAAATAAATCAGAGGCATACAAGAAGAAACATTCATCTGAGTTGGATGTCACATCTGTCGACAAACATTGCTGTGAGACTCTCACCTGTACTCTACTTCCTTATAGATAGGTAAGAGAGGGAGTGTGGTGTACAGAAGGTCCTAAAAGCCCTGTGTTCAGGTGGTGAAGGATTCCCTTGGCACAGACACTGCAGAACATAGACCTTCTCCCAAGTGCTGGCATGGGTGTGCTGTTGGGGGAGAGGCTGTGAATGAAGGCATGGTTGGGTTAGGATGCACTATATTGTGTTGAGATTAGTAGTGCCATATCCCAAAATTAGCAGGCCCAGGCTTTGAGCACCGCTAGGTAAGGCAATTAGACACCTGCAGCTGGCCTGTGTCAGTTGATTCGGGCTTGGGGCAAAGCAGCTATTTTATTGTGTTGTAGATATTCTGGCTCAGTCTGCAGCCTGGGCTCCAGCCCAAACCTGAATGTCTACATTGCAATTAAACAGACACTTAGCCTGAGTCCTGCGAGCCTGAATCAGCTGGCCTGGGTGAGCTATGAGTTTTTAATTGCAGTGCGGACATAACCTAAGAGGCATTACACAGAATCTCCTCCCATTGCTCTGCACTGTGGTTAATAATGCTGCACACATGGTATCAGTTCTGTGAGATCTGGCATTGTGTTTTCATTAATGCATGTGCTGAGGGCAATGCTACATAGTCAGTCAGCAACATGGTAAAATAGGCAGAGATTATATTCATAATAGACATCAAACTCATTGAGACAGAAAATCTACCAAGGATAGTTTCATGGGCACGAGCTACTGCTGCCCTGGCACCCTGTGTAGTCATTTAAACCAGTGTAAAATAGGTGTAAATACTACTTTCTATATTTAAAAAAATTACAGCTTTTTTTAGGTTGAGAAATCCCTTTCTCTGGGTATGTCTACACTACAGAGTTTTTTGGGGAAAAACGGTTGTTTTTCCGAAAAAATTTCAATAATGTCCACACTGCATCGCGTCCTTCTGAAAGAAAATCGAAAGAACAGATGGGGTTTTCCAACATTGGTAATTTCATTCTACAAGTAAGAAGCCTTTTTCTGAAAGAGCTGGTTTGGAAAAGGTGTGTATGGATGGGGAAAAGGGCATTCTTTTGAAAGAAGAGGAAAGAGGAAAAGCACAGGTGCCCTGGTGGCCGCTCCGTCCATAGTAATCACAGCTGAAATGCGAAATAGAGTCCATTCAGTGTGGATGCTATCTTTCGACAAAGCAGATCATTTTTTTGATGCACTTTGGCAGTGTGGACGCTCTCTTTCGGAATAGGTTTTCACAGAAGATTTCTTCCGGAAAATCATCTTCTGAAAGAAGCCTGCAGACTAGACATAGCCTCTCTCCCGCCTATGGAACTGCATGTACTTTACAGTAGCAAAAAAGCTTATGCTGTTCACTCTGTTTTATATTCTAAACAATTTTGACTTTACTATGTAAGAAAAGAGCCAAGCGAGGGTTATAATGTTGGTTTCTAAGAGCCATGAGTGTTGTCTTTGTACATCTGACTCATCTCTTATTGCATAATAAAAGCATAGAAGCCAAATGCTTTATGAGTTGAAATGACTTGTCTGTTTTACCCTTGAACTGACATTTATATAATATTTGAATATAACACTGCAAGCATAATCCATAGTTTTTAATGACTGAACATGCTAACCACTATAGTTGGTGTTTTCCAGTTCAGGAGCTCTGATCAGAGTGTTTATAAAAAGTGGCTGTTGATCATTTTAACTGATTTTTCTTGCATCCTGTTCCATTTAGGCAATTATACTGAACACACCACTGATTTATCTAGACACTGTCATAACTTTTATAGAAACCATAAACTAAAATTTGGATTTTGATTGCCTAAGTCATTAATTGAATCCCCATCACTTAAATCATTACTCAGTACAACTATTTATACTTTTCATGTACAGCTTTACAGAAAATATCTTGTATGGCTTCCCCTACCATAGTCTCTTGAGTGCATTGCAGTCCAATGAGAGGTAGGAAGGTATTAGCGTCACTTTTTCAGATGAAGAACTGAAGCACAAAGAGGGTAAGTGACTTGTCTAAGGTCCCCCAGAGAGTTTGTAGCAAAGCAGAGAGTCAAAGCCAGGAGTGTCAAGATGCAGACTATTACAATAAACACTGGACCATCCTTCTTCTCTGTAATACTATAGGGGAAAAGAAGGGAAAAGTCTGACCTCAGTTGTATTAGGGACAATTTACTGTCTTCATTGGGGTTTCAGAGAGCAAGGCCTGGCCCAAAAATGTGTTTAAAAAGAAGTCTTGAACCATTAATCTTCCTAGTTGCCCTTTAATTCCCAGGAAATCTAAACATTTGTCCCTGGATCACTTACACAACGTGACTGTGATTTTGGATTCATACTAATCTCTTATAAATTGAATTTGTAAGTTAGAATTTAAGTGCAATGAATTGTAGCTTGTATTTTGGAGTTAGGACTTGAGTAATGGTGTATTATAGGCCATCGATCGGCAAAATTGATTGACTTTGATTGCATAGGCTTTATTTCCATTAATAAGATGTATCATTTTAATTGACTGCAAAATTTTCTTTACATTTAAGATTCTCACTTAAATTCTGCTGACAAAATTGTGTTCTATTCCATTTTCCTCAAAAACCTGAGGAAATTAACAAGCTGTGTTCTGTAAAGTATTACATTATATTCCTTTATGAACTGATTTGCTTTTTAATGTGAAATAGCTTGTAAGTTACCAAGTTTGTGGAAGAAATAGAAAATAGTAACTGTACTGAGATCCTACAGTACATTTTGTAGCATCAGCTACAATTTTGGCATGTTATCAAAGTAATTAACTATTTACTGTTCAGATTGTGGTGAAAGTATGTTAAGACTTCAATTGTACTCTTATCGCTTTTTAAGGGGTATATTTATATACAAATTGCCTGGCATCCCTCTATCAACGCTTTGATCTACTGCACTATCAGTGTTGGCTCAGGTACAAGAGACTGTAGAGTACACAAAGCTGTCTGCTGTAGACTCCAGTGGAAAAAAGAAGGCTGTTTATACACAGCCACTCATTAGCTAAGTCAGTCAATATTTGCATGATGCAAGCATAATGGCTTCTTTATGTTAGACTGATTAAATTAAATAATCAGCAAGAAACTTTCCTTTCAAGGGACAATTTTTTTTTTAAATTGTATTTCTTTGGCCACATATATAACAAACTTACGACTCTTTCTTGTATTTTTCCCCTTCAACATCCAAACTCCCAGAAAAGGGAATTTACTCAGCTATGGTGGGCTTTTAGACTATCCTGTTTTATGACTGGTGAGTAAAGGAATCCATGATGAAATTATGGTCTAGTTGCCACACAGCAACATACCTTTTGAAAACTTCACCGTACGTTGGAGTTGAGTTTGGTATTGCAACATTTATTTAGAAATACTGTACTGTTGCTGTATGATCTCCACTTATCCAGAGCAATAGTACTTGATGTTTCAGGTCCAAGTGGGGAGGTGAGGCAATAGAATTCACAGTGTCAAGCTTGTCTAAAGCCTGCCACCCATAGAAATATGCATAGATATAAATGTAGCCCTTTTAAAAATGAAGTACAAGATGTACCTCTTTGATCAGGTATTTCCAAATGATTAAAGCTGAGATCTGCAGTATGAGTTTGAGTCCTAATTCCCTAAGATTTTTTTATGGTCCCTATGCCAAGCTCCTAGGTGATTAGTCATACTCAAATTTGAAGGCGGAGGGAAATTTGAAGAGGAGGAAGGTGTCTTAATATCTCAATGTAAGCTTTGGAAAAACACCAGATCCTATGGTTATGGGTGCATTGCAAATACTCACAATGGGCCAGTAAAAGCT